AGGAAAGTAAATCGGTAATAATATATTTAGATAAGTAATATCATATTTAAATAGCAATGAAAACTACACGTTTTTATGTAGATACTTCGTAAATCATGTAAAGTGGTTTAAGGTTACAGTAGTAAGTATTATAAAATAATGCAGGATAGCAAACAGTTGTTAATAAACAAGATTAACAATATACATTCTGGTGTAGGATAATTTTTAAATATGAAACATGTCTTTAAGATCTTTTTAAGAAGTATAAAGATTTTATGTAATCAACCTAACATTTTTACTACATTTAATTATACCGAAATGTAGGTAATAAGTTTTAAAGGAATCTGACTTCGAATTTTTTAATAAAAGATGACATGGGAGTGGCAAAAAGTATGAAATTGTAGAAAAAAAGTGGGAAGAAAAGGATTGGAAGGGAAAGAAATATTTTCCAATAATTGTTACATCGACACAGCCAAAATGGCTACTGGAAGAGGGTCGAAGCCATGGTGTGCGAAATCAATGGCAGTGAAAGCGATGAGAGTGGAGAAGTGAAGCAGTGGTATCGATTTTCGACCCTTAAATTTCGCTATACAGTGGAACTACACTAGCGCATTCCGTTTCCTTCCCTTCTTGAGCTTTCTCTTCAATTTATGCAATTGACGTTTCAGAACATACGTTCAGAACATAAAACTTCTGATTAAGAATATTAAAAAAAAGTTATTAATAATATTTGAGGTACTATATAATAAAATAGTAATATTTAATCATTTTTTCTGTGAGCTAAACCTATACATAATTCAATTCAATCTACGATTTATCAATAAGGAAGTGAAACTCTTCGTCACTTCATTCAATTATTTATATAGAAACTATGTAAAATAGTTACGTATTTACTAATAATTTTCAAAAATTGTACTAAAAATTCTACATCAATTACCTACAACAGAAGAATTTTTGTTACTCCAAAAGAATTTCATTTCACACAATTCTGCAAAAGTAATTGGACTAGTCCAATGAACTGTATTATTATCTGCTACCACAAATATTAACTTTGCGAAGATTTAAATATTAAAATTTTACTTCTTCATTTCACGTGAAGAAAGAAAAGATAAATTCAAAAGGAAAATAATTGGAAGCTCGATAATCGTCGAATCTCACGCTTCACAATTAATTCAAATGAATTGCAATGAAATACAATTAAATCACTTAATTTCCATGTTTCAACACGCGAATCAACATTAATTAACTTTTATACTCCGCACGATGTCTCTGTAGCAGAAAGCAGCGAAGCAACGTCGGGCAAGATGAAAAGTCTAAAGGAAATACAGGCAGATACAGATTCCTCGAATTGAATGTTGTGATAAAAATAAAACGGAAGCCAAGACGCGGAAGTTCTCGTACGTGGCGGAACGTTACGTCAAAAGTCACGGATGTGCAGCATGAAATCGCGTGAGAATGCCACGGGGGTAACGTGGAAGGCGTGTTAGCTGCAACGACGTGCAGACAGATGGGAGTGGTCTCCGCAATCACGATGGGCGTGGTATTTTCACGGCGTGCTGCAGCTGCACCCTCCGTTGCAACTCGCGCGCGCTGCATTCGCCTTCGAACGCGAAGGCGAATTGAGCGACGAGAAATGTATATACCCGCCGCGCCGCTTCGCGCACTTTTACGCGATCACTTGATTGGATTGCGAGAATTTTATTATATCAAACTTGCGACGCCGACTCGAAAATTCTTTCGAATCGCTAAACTGAAAGTATCGGTCGGAGTATTTTTATTTTCCCTCCGCTTGCGAGACAGCCGGTATTTCTTTTCGTGGTAATATACATTTAGTATACGGGCATTTTATAACTTGCAAAACTAGAACTGACATTTAAGAGTATAAAATAAAATCAGAAGCTACGAAAGTTATAGATAGGCGAATGAATTTCTGGAATATAAAAGATTTGTTTGAAAGTTTGTTGTAAAATTGGAAAAGGTCCTCAATCTTTATGATCACGGATACGTATATACAATGTTATGTATGGGTATTGGTCATTTGATTCTTGCTTTCTTATTCATGCTTTCATAGTCGCACATTTTACTATGAAATTTATTACCGCCGACATTTTTTGAATAGTCTGATGTGAGATATCTGTAGAACTAGACGTATGATACATGGTTATAAACTACGAAAATCATCGTTATTTCAACTGCGAAGTGCAATATTTTATTTAGTTTTATTAGCCAGTTAACTGCGTTTGACGAGTATCGCGTCATCTTAAAACTCGAAGTGATACTAATCTCTTCTACGATGAGTTAGTTATTTTTTCAGATACACATATATTTGTTCTTCGTTTTCTTTAGTTTTTCGTTAGAATATGTTATAGGTACGTTTGTACTGTGTTTGATGAGTATATATTTCATTGATTGACTTTATTCTGTGCACAATGAGAGATTTTGAAACTAAATTCCACAGTTAACTGGTTAATAAGTAGATAATGCTTTTTGATCAGACACAGTGCTATAAATGAATACTCTAACTCCGTATAGCATATAATTGCAAAATCATATCTACATAGCATCGGTTGGTAATTTAATAGTTTCAACTGACCTGCAATGCATTCTTAAAAATAAAAGCATCAAAATATATTACAAAACTACTCGGAATCATATTCTATCCACTCTCGAAATGGGTGGCTTTTTGGCTATTAGTTCACATTTATATTACCATATAAAATTCGCTTTCTATGTATTCTTATTCTCTTATATTCTCTTATTCTTTAGACTTAGTCTATTCAATACTTCTAACGTAAACATCACTACGATTGTTTAACCTTTGCTAACAGAGCCACGTTCTGTTTTTTTGAAAGACTATTACATTTAGTGAAAGTGTAAAAAATTACTCTGTTGCGTGTTATAAAGATTAAAAAGTACTCGTTTGATATAATCGAAAATAAAAATTTGATGCTAAAGACGTAAAATATTTGTTTTACTCGAAATTTATATAATATCTCTAAAACAACTTAACTTTGAGATGCTTCTCATTCAAAACAAAAGCGTCCTACATTAGAAGCACTTCTTCAAGAATACTAACAATACCATACACTCATTAATATTCTTATTTACAAAGAATATTTCATATAAACATTTAAACATCAAAGCGAATGTTCAGTCTATTAGATAATCTCCTCGCAATAATAGTCGATTGAAACTATCATTCCCCAAATTACAGTGTTTATAAAATAAAACACCAAAAATGAGAATTTTAAACGTTACGAAAACATCGAATCTTCTATTTCCAAAATTATTATTTTATTTTCCAGCTAGATACATTCTCCGGTGAATCGTTTAACAAATTTACGGCGCACACCTCCAGGTTTTACAGCGAATCATGCGATCGAGCAGAATCCAGCACGATCCCCTATTCACGGTCCCGGAACCGCAGGAAGAAAAAAAAAATGGCGAGGCGCGCGGCAGCGCGGCGAAGCGTCTCGATTGCACGGAGCAGGGTACGCGCGCTTTTTATTCACGATTTACATGATAAATCTCGTCAGGAGGACCGACTCGACATCAAAGTTGAAAGGCCGAGGAGGAGCGTCCGTTTGTATCGGCCCGGCGCGGCAGAGAGCGAGGAGCGGAGGCAGAATGGCGCGCAGGTAGCGCAAGAAAGGTCGGTCGGCCCCTCAGATGCTCGCAATTAATAAGAGCTTAATGGGAGCCGCGGGGCCGATATAGCGCCGCCACGTTCGGGCCCCGTTTCTTCGTTGTTCTCCCACCGAAATCATCGATGCCGACAACAAAAACCGACGGCATGGCCGTAAAACATTTCGCTCCATCTCGACGGAGGTGCTCGGGGACACGTCCTCGCAAAAAGGGCCGCTCTCCTTTTTAACCCCCGCAGCCACCACGGCGAATTATATAAGAGACAGGGAGGGATTGTCTTTTGCCGAGGATTAGAAGTCGGCGGACGCAGAGCAAGAATTCGGCCATGTTGCGGTGATACCTCGCGAACTTCGATTTTTCCATTTTAACCGTTCGAGTGCTGAGGACTTCTTGTGTTGTGACAAAATTGCGGAGAGCGCGGAGGCGCTTCTGTTTATCGGTATCAATTATAATTTTCTTACGATATTCTTCAAAGAAATAAATCAAAGTAAATTTATTTGAATAAATGTTAGTTTTTGATGTTTTTTTGTAATACACAATATTTGCGATCTCATTAGATAATTACTCTTATTAATTTTTTTGCATACACACCCAATCACTTCCGTATTTTTTGTAAATATCTACAAAAGTTATTTAGCATCCGGTTAATGCTTACACTTCTTTCTTCTCATTAAAGGTGTAAATTTTAGGAACGTTGGCTTTCAGACGTAACATCTTTTTGAATGTTTGCGTGGTCAACGCTGGTTTTTCAAACGAGAAATTGTGAAATTTGAAGGAGAATTATATAAACAATTGTTTCGGTTAATCGTAAATATAGAACTACTGATTTGTATTCGTGTATGTGAATAAACATATTTGAATTCATCGATTGTGTCGTAAGCAATGTTCAATTAATTTAATAAAATTAAAATAAATTAATGTAAATTTCACAGCTATTTCGCAATCGTTATCTTTTTATTCTGAAATTCGTCTCTTGTCAAACAATAGGAAAAAAATAATTGAAACTGGTAGTATTCTGATTGCAAAGAATTGTACACTCAGTTCTTAGTCTACACGATAGACAAATTTATGTAAAAAAATACACAGCGTCTATAAAAAAGCTGAAATTGGTTCTACACCTAAAAAATCAGCAAAGTGATACTATAAACCACAAGAAAATTCATATTCGAATGTGGGTGATCGCGTTAAGTCGAATCAGATTGTGAAAAATAATTCGTGTTACATCGAAATCGCGTGAAAACAGAATTGGTCGTAGTATTGTTTTAATAAATATGTTCAAGCGAAGCGTCCACACACGAAAGCATAGTTGATGACCAAATAACGCCCCCAATCGATAAGAATCCACGACTCCTGAAATAGACTCCCATTTTACTCACCAGAAAGGGGTGCATACGGGCCGTGGGGGTAAGGGGGTGCGGACGAAGCGTCGACGAGTGACTGCGACGGCGTCGCCGACGTCCAGTCCTTGTAGGAGGCCGCGGCGTGCGCGTGGTGCGCCGCATGGTGGGACGTATGGTGGCCGAGTCCTCTTGCACCACTCAACAACAGGCCACCGTAACCCGTCACGGCCGCCATATTATGGTGGTGATACTCGTGCACAGCCCTAAAATACACCATGATAACCATTCGACTTTTATTTCAATGACTGAGCACTTACTAGTTTCTCTAGTAAGATCATACATGAACAATTTATACTCAAATGTCGCGCTACCGTAAATATTCTGAAAAATTCGGATGACTCGATCGTTCTTGCATGACGCGTCGATAAGAACTGATAAATGTACTGCCACATATTTTCCATTTTTCAACGTCTTCCATTCTTATTTTAAAACTTCCATAACACCTTTTACAGGATCATCGTGTGGTAAAGATATGGGGATTTATTGATTAGCATACAGCTTGCTTTAAAACTCAATCTCCCAATTATTGTATAGTTACCTGCTGTTCCTCGGAAGAATAGCTACGCGATCACAGTACTTACTAGTTTCTACCTTAGTGTGGATAATATTCTAATCTTAACTTGATCACAGTATAATAGCATGTTTAATCTCAATTTAGAAAACACATACGGTATCGATATATAAAAATTGTATTACACAGGCCAAACGCAGATAAAGAAAATAGGAAAGGAAGGAAGACGCCGTGCGAGGAAAAGAAAAGCGACCGAAAATAGTGAAAAAAGAAGGAGCCAAGAAAAGGGGTGAAATGAGAGAAAGAAGGAGGGAAAGAATTCTCGATATCGTGCCTCTTCTCAAGAACGGTGACAGACTGGTAATTTATACGGCGGCCGGCGCAAGATCAGCGCTAAAGATCTCTCGAGCAGTGGTACCTGCTCCCGACGGTTTTCTGTATTTTTCACGTCTCGTTTTCTCTTTGCCTCCGAACACGTTCCCTCTTCTTCGTTTCGCCTTCTCCTCTCCTCGTCGCCCCTTTTGTGCGGTCCTTTAATCGATCCTCTCATTCTAATGCGCGCTCGCGCGTCCACTGTTCCGTCCCTTTCCTCGATTTCTCGTGATTTTTCTCGGATCCTTTTTCTCCCTTTTCTTCTGAACCCCTGCATCCCCCCGTCGCCCTCCTCCCGGCAGGCCCAGCCGGCTCGTTTCCCGTCTCGTGCGCGCCGCGACATTCATTTCTGACGGTTTATCCCGGCAGGCTATCGCGTAATGACCGTGTCGCGCCTGCCGGAGGTGGATTTTTGGAATGCGTGAAACATTGGCCGCATTATCGTCCGTTAATTGAATGGACGACGCTCGCGACGGTTCCGTCGATTTGTCACAGAACGGTTTTGCGCGGAAACACGAGCTTCGGGCGTGAAACCGGTCGATTTTGAAGCACTCTCATTTGTCGGGTTTGAAATGTCGATCTTTGCTTTTAGTTGTTTCTCGTTGTTCCGTGGAAAGTCATATCTCGATGAAATCTTAACGTTGTCAAACACGTTTGACGGTTACTGTGTATCCGGTACTGGAGCGACCGAGTGGGAAGCTGTGTTGCAGGTATATTCTATTATGGAAACTACCGTGGCATCCGGTGTAATGCGGATTATTACTTACGCGTAATGTGATCAAAAGTTGCTGTTATTTTTGTTTAACCCCTTGCCCTGTAATATCGTATCAGATTCATGGCGAAGATTTCAAATAGAGTTTAACGAACCTCAATGTTATTCGATTTTTTTAATGCAAATTATATATTTTTCTATTATCAATGATTGTACCTTAGAACATACGTTGACATAGAATAATAATTATTAATGGCGAAGTGGTTGGATCGATCACAGTTCAGAAAGAAAAAGGGCAAGGGGTTAACGAGATTAGAATATTGCTCGAAAGAAGGTGCGCTTTTATACAACAATAAATGGTGAAGATACAAAAGCATATCGTTATTTTAATGTTTCAATTTATATGTTGAAACTAAAGAAATTTTAACAGACGAAGAAACTATATGCACTAACATTTAAAAAACGATGCTAGTAGAATCTAATTTTAAGCGATTTAAAAAATAGTTAGATTTTAGTTTCGCCTTGGTATTATAAATAGTAAACACTTGGAATAATTAGTTCACACTTGATTGTAGCCAATTTAATAAATATTGACAGCGCAGTAAAATAAAATGAAGTATTAGGCGGACTCACCTATGGTGATATTGCGGGTAATGAGGGTGCCATGGATCCGTTGGATACTCATAGCCTTGGCCAGGGTGTTGACTGTCCCAGAAGGAAGCCGGGAAATTCCTCATAGACATGGGAGAGATGTTTTCTATAAAAGAAAAATCGCAGAAACCGTGCCCTTAATATTCTATACGTAATAAGTAGAAAGAGAATCATTTCAAGTGTAACAAAAGTATAACTTCTCACGATCATCGAAGAATAATTCGAAATAAAAGGACACATTAAATTGTATTTTTCTTTCAAGTCAAATTTGCGATTAAATCTCGAGAATGACGGTGCAATTTTTTTATTCCTACGATACACTTATGGACGTGAATGATTGAAAAGTCACGGATCGTACTTCCATGCCGGAATTAATGCTTGATGGTCGCGCGGTGGCGTGACGTACTTCAATTAGAGGCTTCAATCTACTTTTCCATGGTTTGAACACGAAACAACATCATCTCCTAACGAGCCGGCAGTGCAATTTCACGATTCAGGAACATACTTAGAATTCCGATATACTCTGCGTAAACGTTAATCAATTAGAGGCTACTGCGAAATCAAAGAGCAGCAAATGAAGTGCGCATACATGATAGTTGAATAGAAGATTCAACCAATTGAGAACTCACGTTTTAACGCTTAATATCGCAGAGGTAATTTATAAAAACACTTTCATTAAAACGCTACTTCCGCTATTTCCTTCGAGTTTAATTTATGTTCATGTATCTTTCTACTTATTGTAAGAAAATTTTACACTTCGCTTATGAAGCGTCTCGAATGCAGATTTTAAATTACATTATCCAGGACGTACCAACTGAAACAGAGAAACTTTTATTCTGTCGTGTTTTTTCATAAGAGGAAATATCAATCTTCATAATTAAGCGGTTTATTAATTAATATTCAATTTAATGTTCATTCTCACGGTAAACGTTGTTAAGTACGGATTCACTTTCAATTAAACCATCAATTACCCTGTTAGTCTGCCACTATGTGGTTATATAATCATCAAGATTAGTAGATACATTGTTTCACTCAACTTGACACCAATGTTATTCCATATGATATCTACAATTATTATAAAGTGTAAAAATAAAATGCTCCTTATTCCAATTGCATGACTAATTACAGGACACCGCTAATTTACTTTTAAAACATACAGGTGCGTAAATATTAACACATTACGTACTGGCTAATTTTCAGAACACTGAATTCTGCCGATTTTCAGCGAGATCAACTTATATCGCTATATATAGAACAACTGAAATATGATATTGCTATATAATATATTGTAAATAGATAATCTGCTCGAACCAAATTAAATATTTTCTCAAATGCTGCGGTAATTAGAGAAGTTGCAGTGTCTTCATACAAAAACGAGATTTCTCGTTGCCAGTACGCAATGGTTTAACAGATTGCTGACCTGTCACGAGTCAACTCGTGTTTGCACTTGCATTAGCCATTTCAATTTTTGAATCAGAGACAATACAGAATATTCAAAGTTATATAAAAGACACGTCAAAAGTTTCATTTCAGTTCATTATATACACAAAGTACCTACATTGAAGTTTATCTAGATTCTCCCACTTTCATATTTAGTTACGAAATAATAACCTGTGACTTGGGATAGCTACCGCATAAAATTTCCGATCAACAATGTGTCAATGCCTGAAGTAAGAATTCTATAAACTATCACTCCATCTTCACTCAAACTAACACATTGCGTACTGGCAACGAGAAATCTCGTTTTTCAGTAAAGACACTTAGCTATGCAACTTCGCTAATTAGCACAGCATTGAAAAAAATATAAAATTTGATTCGAATTGATTATCTATTTAAAATACATTACACAACAATATGATATCTGAGTTTTTCCATACAATTCAGTTTTCTGAAAATTAGCCGGTACGCAGTGTGCCAAAAGATCCATCACTTTTCATTGAAACACCCTATACATTCGAAAGTCTAGTCGATTGTACGTAAACTACGCGTAGCCGTGAATGCGTTGATATCCTTATGCAATGAATCACGTAGCGCCCGCCATCGATCTACGATCGATTGACCCGGATCTCCTGCGGATCAAGAGAGGCCAATCGACGCGACGATTTCTATCGAATGGGCGAACCCGGGCCCGGGCCCAGGAACCAGGAATGTTTATTAAAATATTTGTATCGTTTCCCACGGGCCAGCACGCGATTCTTTCGTGGGCTCACGATAAACGGGTAGCCGGATCCCACGGGATCGAACCGCACGACAGAAAGGTACCGCTCGGTTGTTTTACAAGCGACCACTCGACTCCAAAGCCAGAAGCTTGTCGTGTATCCTCCCGTGGAGTCCCCGGGTCCTTGGTCCCAGGATTCCTTTTTCCCTCTCGGATCTCTCTCCTTCGGCCGATCCAAACATATATTCGAAGGTTGAACCAACGAGGTCGGAACCAGCCGACGATTTATACTTCTAATTCCTCCTCTCGCTCTCTTCCTCGATTTCATCTGCGACTGATACAGCTGCTCCTAACTACACCGGCGGAGACGACTAATTTATCCCGGCTCGTGGACAATCCTATTATTTAACGTTGCCACCGTCGAGATATTGTTTCAATACGCCAACCTTTGCACCTTTTTGGCCGCGGGTCCAACGGCTTCGCTGATCCTTTCGCCGATTACGGGACACGAATAACTTCATTTGAACCCTTAACGCTGGAACTATCGCGCGGTTAACACTAAACGTACCGCGACCGGTCAAACGATCGGTAAATTTGATTGAAAATTTTGTATTTTCGTTCGTTCGTTTAACTTCCTGTCGATTCTTATATTGTTCGATTAATTAGTTTGCCAGTTTTTGACTTTCCTTTTCTTTAAGTCTATACTAAAAAGAATTCTCGTCAAATTTGTTTACTTTTATTTTATAGTTAATTATTTATCTGGTTGGAGTGGAAATGGTTATGTATACAGTGCTGGTACGTTTAGTGTTAAAGTGACTCATTTTTAATTTCTCATTTACTGAATTGTGGGTGTATATTCTTTGAAATCGAATATGATTTTTGTTATTACGTTCGTTAATGTGGCAATTATTCGTAAAGGTGTATTTGTGATCAGAAACTGTAGATTAACACTGAAATTACCGAGTAATTAAATTGACTTCCTGAAATTCCTCTATGGGAACTCGAAGGACGCATTTGATGAGACTTTAATTGATTTACAATTCAGTTTGCGCATTGCTAAATCAAAGTTTGTAATGATTTCTCATTCTGTATGTATGTACATAGATCTCGAGATGTGATTTAAGAGAATTGAAGAATTGAAATGCTCGAATGTTTGTCACAAAGTCATCAGTATTCACGTAGGCTTAATTTGTCAACGAGTAAAGCTTACCTACTGACGTCCAAAAAATTGGATTTTCAATGTCAACACGTATCGACTGGGATTTTTCGAAGCTAATGCTCATCGATTGAAGTGACATTATATCAATTATATTTGCATGTTGGTGACCGTATTAGAAGCCCTGCATACGCGTCAGCTTGAAATAGTCACAACGAAGCAAAGTAATAATTAACCAGTTAATTGTGGAATTTAGTTTGAAAAATCTCCCATTGCGCGCACAATAAAATCAAACAATAAAGCGTATATCCATCAAACCCAGAACAAATTCATCTATAACATATTCCAACGAAAAACTACAGTGAAACGAAGGATTACAAATTTATCCGAAACAATTCGTACCATTTTGCGTTTTAACTCATTGCACTCGATTTATTTTCAGGGTTAATGGGTGCAAACTTGTATTTATTTTCAGGGACACGAATTAAAGTAATTCACAGCGGTAGAATTCAACATTTTCTATATATTTCACATATTATTCTTATAATAAGATTTAACGTTTGTAATCTTCTAAACTATGGTACTTTCTAAATCAGTTTCCAACGTTTCACAAGAAATTTGTATTGCCATATCCAACATGGCATACGAACGCATAAGATGACGCGTATACTGGTCGAACGCAGTTAACACGTCGAATACCATGGGGTCACCGATGACTCCCAACTAAACCGAATTACTATAGTTCACTCAATTAACCGCTGATTATTTGAAACTATTTCTATATTATAAATAATACTACCTAATGTGGCGACATTCAGCTAGACGAACACGCAGTAATAATAATTCAATTCAATCAAATGATTTGATATTATATCCTCGCCATTCTGTGTATTCCGTTCTATGAAATCGTGCGGCGTGTTAACTGGTTAAGGGTTAAATGAAATCCAGAAAATCGTTCCCGCGGACTCGCCCCTCCCCGCACAAGGGGTTAACACCGATTCCGACAAGGGGCGAGAGAGATCGAGAAATTTCGAGAGTGGGATCCGCAATCCGGCGGGGTCCGGCGGACCGGCGACGATACTTTTAATCCGATTGGGTATCGGGTCGTCCCGGTAACAACTGACCCGCGACACTTTAAGCATAAAGAAGCCA